TTTTTTGCACACACAAATTCCTATCTACACATGCACAAATAACACATTTAGTTTACAAGATTTCAAAACTGATGTACAAACACAAAATATTTATGATCAGAATTTGTGCCATGCTTGTTCCCCTGCCTGTGTAACATTTGCAGTAACTATGCTGGTGAAGATTCTCAGTCATCCAGGACATGATGAATTCAAAAAGCGTTCAATACAAAAACAACTGGACTTTATTTGAATTTATTTATTTATTATTGAATTTATTTGAACTCTTTGAATTGAGAAAGCTCCTCGGATGAGGAGCGAAACGTCTTCTGTTACAAATAAAGTCCAGTTGTTTTTGTATAATTTTAGAACTCTATTTTGTTTTAAAATAATTTGAATCATAATGGTAAAAGATCCTAAATGCCCTAAATTTAACTTACTGAAACTTGAAACTAAATAAAAACATTTTACTGTCTTTTGCCATTCACCGGCTTCAGGCATTCAAATTTTTCTTTACTTCTTCTCAGCACATCATCGGGGGAAAAGTGGCTTCTTTCAGAAACACACTGAAGACCAGACTGTTCAGCATGCATGTGGAGGTTTCCAGTATGAACGCTACGTATTAAAAACTTGGCGCGAGGTATAAATTCATGATGCGGTTCAGTTTTGAACGGTCTGATCTAATCCTACACCTGTCAAAACACAGCCGAAAGGTTATTTTATATATATCTTCAGCCTGTAGGGTCTCAGAAGCAGCACACCTTGAAGCTCAGCAAAGCTGCAGAGTCAGAGGGGACTGCACACATGAATTTATATCAGTTATGTCAGTGCAAACACCCCCCACCCCCTGGGGATGTCTAATCTGCTTTAGTGCAAGTCATGATACTAAACCCCAGTGATGCAAAACTGAAAATAATCTGTGGAATTACAGTCACAGTATAGGGAGGCTTGAATTTTCTCCCTTATGGGAAAAAGACTTATTATGGTACAAAATTAATTTAAAGTATTTTTATCTCTGAAGGCAGAGTGATAATGTTTTTACCCACATCTGTGTATTTGTTGGTACAGATGGCAAAAAGTATCACAAGTCACTGAACAGGTTTTAATGAGACTTTCAGAATCACTGGATGTGCATCTACAATTTACCATATTTTTCGGACTATAAGGTGCACTCAAAAATCCTTTAATTTTCTCAAAAATCGACAGTGAGCCTCATAATTCTGAGCTCCTTATGTATTAATTCTGGTAACGCTTACTGACCTTGAACCGATTTTATGTGGTACATTTGAACATTGTTATTGTGAATGAGTTGAATAAAGTTTTACTTATCTGACTGTTATGTTTCACTTGATCCACTTTATAATCCGGTGCGCTTTATAGTCCAAAAATGTTGGAGTCAGTTTGATTTAAGATGGCTGCCACAGCTAAGCCATACAACAATGGCTGTAACTTGGTCGATTTTAACAAACGAGCTAAAAGTGTGTTTGTGTCTGACATTGAACCCCAATTTACATAGAGCTATAAGTAATACAAGTTTTGGAGTCAATCTAATCCAAGAGGGTTACTACAGCTAATTGACCTAAACTAAAATGGCCATACCATAGCTCTTAATGTCATTTATTCAAGATGATCTAGTAAAAAAAATAGCAAGAATGTGACAGGCATGCATTCTTTCAAGGAATGCTAGGCCTTCAGTTTTAACTTGTGTTGATTTTTTTTTTCCTTTGGAGCAATTGTAAACCTAAATTTAACAAGCCGTTTCCAAATCACTTCCTCTCTTCTTCTTAAATAATTAGTAAGCTTTATTACCTAGTACATTGTGGTCTGCAAACTTTTAAATCAAAAGAGAATTTCTACCCTTCACTTACTAAACAAAATGTGCTTGGAGCCGCAAAACCTGCTACAACAGTGATTATCAACTGGTGGCTCATGGGCCAAAAAGAACAAAAATGAATGTAATGAATTCTAAAAGTCATTAAAATGTTTACATTTTAGGGCTAAAAAAAAGAACACAATCATGTAAAAAAAGGGGAAAAAATACATGTTTCTTACCAATTTGACCCCCCAAAACTTATCCCTGAACTCGACAGTTTTATGTGAGTATTCCTTTTAATTTTAGAAATTTTAAAATAATTATGTATCCCACTTCAAAGTATTAAAGCATACATTTAATGTTTGTTTAAATATTAAGTCATTTTGTTGGATATATAATTGTGACGTAAAAATTTTAATTTAAAAACAAATTTTGTATTTACTTTAACTTTAATTAGGTCTTCATTCGTCCTCATCTGCTCACACAGACTCATGTTCGTGCTGCTGTTGTTTGGCGCACTGTTTTGTACTACTAGTGCTTAGTATATTCTTAGTTTGACATATTTCTTAGTTCAAATCTTAGATATTACTACTGTTTTTCTTTACAATTTGCATTTTTGTTGGATGTAACTGGGACCCTGTGTACACAGTTTTGTTCCACCTCATGTACCAATGTGAAGACAATAAAGACGCCTTGACCTTGACCTTCTATCTATCTATCTATCTATCTATCTATCTATCTATCTATCTATCTATCTATCTATCTATCTATCTATCTATCTATCTATCTATCTATCTATC